CTGTTACCTTCACACCAGAGTGGTCCCCATTTTTCTACTTGCATTTTTACATGCTTTAGAACTGCTAGGTTGGCAAAAGCTGGGACAAGTAATGGGAGTTCACTCCATTATGCAGTGCTAGGGATTCGAACCATCAAACTGCCAAATTTTCTGATCAACATGCTCAGTGTCTTAGACACTGAGCCATCGCATCCCATGTGTGTATGTGTGTGTGTGTGTGTGTATGTGTGTGTGTGTGTGTTTGTGTGTATGTGTGTATGTGTGTATGTGTGTGTGTGTATGTATGTATGTATCTCTCTCTCTCTCACTCTGTGTATATACTTACATTATCTCATAATATTGACAGATGTGGAGATTATATAATATTTTAGGAGGCAAAATAGTTAATTAAACAATGTCATTTACTTGATTCCTTTGATCAAATGCTCCTTTTTATTCAGATCAGGTCTCAACAAAATAATATAGCATTTGGGGACAAAGATACAACCTAATAGTGCCCCGCTGGAAGCCAAGATGGCAAAGATCTCCACAGCCACCATATATTTTCCTTTGCTGCTCACGTAGGCAGGAACAAAAGACAACCAGACACTGCAAAAGACTAGCATACTGAAAGTGATGGATTTGGCTTCCTGGAAAGTGTCTGGTAATTTCCTAGATAGGAAAGCTACAACAAAGCTAACAATAGCTAAAAGGCCCATGAAGCTCAAGATACAATAAAGCATTGCAACAGATCCTTCATTGCATTCTAGAATGATTTCATTGTTTAGAGAGTTCATGTCAGTATTTGGAAATGGAGGAGAGATGGATAACCAGATCACACAAAGGAGAGTTTGAATAAGGGAGCAGAAGAGCACAATGGAAAGAGCTAATTGTTTTCCAACCCATTTCCTCATTTGTGATCCTGGCTTGGTGGCTAGGAAAGCAAGAACCACAATGATAGTTTTAGCCAACAGGCAAGAAAGTGCCACTGAGAAGATGATTCCAAAAGCTGTTTGTCGAAGGAGGCACGTCACTTTTGTGGGTTGGCCAATGAATAGCAGAGAACAAAGGAAGCAGAGGAGGAGGGAGATGAGGAGGGTGTAGGAGAGGCTGCGGTTGTTGGCCTTGACAATGGTAGTATTGTGGTACTTCCTGAAGATTCCAAGTACAGAAATTGTGCTGAAGGAAAGCACAAAAGCCACAGTGCTCAGTCCAATGCCTAGATTTTCTTCATAAGATAGGTAACTTATGTATTTGGGAATGCATGAATCATGGTCTTTATTTGGATAACGATCAGGTGGACACAGAAGGCAATCATCCATATCTGGAAAAGATAACAAAATATCCTTGACATAACTGTATATTCCACCACATTAACAATTGAGGGTATGTTTATTACATTTCCAACAGGATTTGCACAATCAGGTAAATTGTTTGTTTCTTTAATCACAAAGAAAATGGTGGAAAGCAATATGTCTTACAACCTGCCATGACAAATGAGGCAACATTTCTCCTAAAGGAATGCCCATAAGGAATCTACATTTTTATCTATATATCCATGCATCCATTAATTCTCCTGATGTGGAATTCTGTTTTATGGAAGGCTAATTTATCATATTTGTTCTTATTATGTCAAAGTCTTTCTAAGATAGTGAATTAAAACTATAGGAGTGAGATAAATAAATAGTAATAAGTACCAGAAGTTCTTCCAATGAGTAAAATTACTAATATAATTATTGTGTTCCTAAACAACAGAGTAGAAAGTATGATTTTCTCAGGCGTCCATATCCTGGGCAAGAAAACTCAGAAACAAGGTTACTTGCTACAGGTTTTAATGAGGCCACGGTCCAGCACAAATGAGTTCCAACAGATACCAAATCTGGGAGTATTCTGACCTAGGCTTCCCCAAAAAGCACAAGGCAGACTCCTGGCTCCGACAAAAAACCCTTTTATTAAACAGATGTGAATTCCTCTCATTCCCATTCAACAAGGCCTGGCCAACAGTCTTTCAAAGGAATATTTATGACTACAGATATTATCTATCTTGGAAAGCTGCCATGTAAATAGTTTCCAAATGAAGTGCTGTGCAAGGAAAGGCTGGGCACAGAATCTCTGAGATTCACAGACAGATCTTCACATTCCTGAAACAAATCTGACGACCGACTGAATGAATTGTTTCCTGCAAAATCCCACTATCCTTTCTCTCCTCTTATGTCCCATGGGAGGGGCCAATCACCTTCCACCTGTAATTTTACTCCCAAGTCTACCCTGATTTCTGAGTTGTTCTTTTCTTCTGGCAGCTCTGTGCATGTGCACACTGGGAACAGGCTCTAGCTGTTCCTCTGCCTCTCTGTTGTCAAACTCTGTAGGCATCTGATCACTGCCAGACGGCCTCGACCCCATCTCTGCCTCTGACGCAGAGCCCTCATCCGAGCTTTCTCCAGCCTCCAGTACTGGCCCATGCTCCTCCCCCACTTACTCACTATCCAACTCTGCTGCCAGCTCCGGTGGCCTCTGGTGGGCCACAACAGGGAGCTTCTGCCTACCAACACTGTAAATAGCCTCAAATGGCCCTACACACACCCATGCCCAGATCCAACCCCATAGCCAGCATCTGACTCTGTTGATCCTCCTTCTGGGTCTCCCAAACGGTGCAACCAGCACCAGTCAGCTGTTCTGGCCATTTGGAATCAGTGCCTGGCAGCTAGCAAGACACTGGTTACAATCCTGGGATCACCATCTGTCAGCTGTTTGGCCTCACAGTCAGCGCTAGTCAGCTGTTTGAAGCTCTACTTGGGGCTGCCCCTGAAAAGTGTTCGGAGACAACAATTAGTCCACAATGCAGCTGTGCGAGCAATACTGGATGTACCAAGGTACACCCACACCACACCTATCCTCCGCGAGCTGCATTGGCTTCCCATTGGTCTCCGAGCACGATTCAAGGTGCTGGTTT